TATAGATATAGATATAGATATAGATATAGATATAGATATAGATATAGATATAGATATAGATAGATATAGATAGATGATGGATGGATGAATGGATGTAATGTTTTTGAGTATTGAAATGGTGTCTGATAATAGGGAGAATACTATTATTATTGTCCCTTTCTCCAAAGGCAAAAGATAGTCAGAATGAATAAAAACTTTACAGGAGAGGTTACTTCGTTAAGTTTTCTTGGGAAGATGTTGGCCAAATTCATGAAAAGTTACAATAAGCAAAAATAAGAGAGTGTCTTGCATTTTAGGTCAAGCAGGGAATGTGCAGATCAGATTTCTGCTCTTTAGTAGTTCATAATTAATGTGAGAATTTTTTCCTTTCTTGATGTAGTTGAAGTGAATTACAGAATGTATGCATGTAAAGGGAGTTGAACTGTAGTTGCTTAGAATGATAAGAACATGAAAGACATACAGCTATTTATTGCATGGCCATATAAATTGAATGAATGAACAAATGAAAAGCTTAGAAAATTATTCAGCATTGGGCAGGGAGCAACACAAGGATATGTGATGTGTTCAATTATTTATTTATCAAGGAAATTACACAGAATGCTTATGATGATGCTAGAGGGATGTTTTGGGGAGGTTATAAAGTTGTACACATATTTGTGTGCAGTTGATGGCAAGAGAACCTGAATTATTTGCAGCAAATTTTGGATAGATTCCATAATGCAATGAATAATATGAATGAAATGTTAATGTTTTGAAGGTCAAAATAGTTGTGTTTAAGAAGAAAAATAGGTAACATATATTATACATACAGTAAATGGCTAAAAACTAGAAGAAGCAAATTAATTTAGAAGAAAGAAAAAAGCAGAGAACAGAATCTCTTAGTACTATTTGTCAGGCTGGGACTCTGAAACATTTAAAAAATGTCTCTGGAATGTTTGTTGAAGTCAGTGTCCTTCTATTGTAATATAATTGTTTGAGTGGAGTGCAGGAAGTATTTAAACAGTACAGAAGTAAATTCTTCAACATTGAAATTAATATACTATTCAGCTAAAAAGAAAACTGTAGGTGCTTTTGATTCCCCCCCTCCCCTCACTATCCATGTCATTAATCCATACTTTTATTCACACAGACTTCAGCTCACCTGGCCTTGAGAAGTATGATGCTCTAATTACTAGCAACATTGTTCCTATGTACAAAGGATTTACACGTAAGTTTGGGGAAATTTTGGCATGATATTGCTTGGTTAAGAAAGAAGGAATGCTTTTTCATTTCATGTTTCCCTCCTGTAATAGCTCCCTTGATTTAATCTTGGTGTTTGGTGGATGTTTTTGGGGGAAGACCGCACATTTCTATACCCCTTGGTGAACAATATAAAAGTTGGTATTGTTGTTTTTATTATTATTTCAATGTAGGTGACTCCATAATGACAGTAGACAGTTTACATTTTAATAGGAAAGAAGGAGGAAGAGAAGAAGACAGCAGAGAAAATGTATACTAATATTCATCAGGCACATTCTTTAATCAGAAATATTATTTGACTTAAAGAGAACAAGGCAGCCATTGATAGTGGTTTTTGTAGAATCTCTTTTAAGGAATTACTATACTTTGCTAAACTTTGCTAATAATTTTTTTCACTAGGGAAAATAGTAGGGCCTGTTCAACCCTATATTGAACAGACTAAGAAAAATTCCTAAGATAGCAGATGCTGCAAAGATTCACAGAAGCAAGGGGGAATAGTAGATTTTGTACAGCATCTCCATTCCAGATATCAGAAATTTAGGGTTAGGGTTAGGACTGATCAAATCAAACACTGAAATTTTATTTCATTATTTTATTTTTATTTATTTTATTTTATGGCTTAAAAATAAGAGTGTAAGTTTTCACCAAACAATGAGAACATATGTTCCCATTGCTTCTCTATTAACTTGCAATGGAAAATGTGCATCCTTACATTTGATTCTGTCTTGCTGTGCCCCTAATTACAGGATTGTGGAATTACTTCCATAGTACCCTACTTCCAAAATATGCTTCTGAGAGAAATGGACTAAATGTCATCAGTGGGCCTATTTTTGATTATAATTATGATGGGCACTTTGATTCTTATGACACAATCAAACAGTAAGTAAATTTAAAAGGCTTAAAAGTAAACCAATATCTTAAATTTTCTTATTTGCTTAGAATAATTTCATATGCAAAGAGTGTAACTGGCTTTGGCAATTTTCGCAATGAACATGACATTTCAGATCATTCCACGGATTATTTCATCCAGGCAGTTTTACAGAATTAAGTTTACTGTGGTTAAGGCAATAAAATTTAAATGGTTATCTTTAATCTCAGGAATATGGTTTATTTCTATGCGTGTAAAGCAGGGACATGCAGTCAGGGGAGGCAGGGGAGGCACGGCCTCACCAGTGTCATGATGAAAAGAAAAGAAAAATTAAAAGGAAAAAGG